AAAGACTGAAGTGCAGAAGTTTCATGGCAGACTCCCGGTAGCCAGCTGGAAAATCCCCAACCCAAAGTCCAGAGCACACCTCTGACTCCCAGTCCTGAGGCCTTTCCAGTTCCCAGACCACCTCAGCTGTCAGCTGGATTTGTGTGCCCAACGAGGCATGTGGCTTTTATATAAAAGAGAAGCACATAAGGAGGAAATCATGAGTGTTCAGGATCACCTTCCAATTCCTTAAAGAGGTTGCTTTTGCAGTAGCGACATACTACCCAGTGGGCTCAGCCATGCAGTTTTTCCTGCAGGGTTAGAGTGGATCATTTCCTTCAGTTGATCACCATTTGAAATAGTAGGGGGGCTTGAGTTCAGAGGCCATGTACAAAAATAATTTTTAAAATCCCCAGAGCTTCATTAAGCACATACAAGACTGAGAGTGAGCCAAGAGGGGGCTATCTAGAGAAACATGGACTCCCCTCCCCCATGCTGTTTATTCTAAATGGGTTCATACAAAAATTAGCCAGGCATGGTGGCACATGCCTGTAATCCTAGCTACTCAGGAGGTTGAGGCAGGAGAATTGCTTGAACCTGGGAGGTGGAGGTTGCAGTGAACCAAGATTGTGCCGCTGTACTCTAGCCTGGGTAGCAGAGTGAGACTCAGTCTCAAAAAAAAAAAGAAAATAAGAAAAATAAATAAATGGGTTCTAAGTGTGTACATAATGGGGTCACAGAAGTGTTCATGTGTTGCAGTGAGTCTGTGTCGAATATGAGCCTACTGAATATGTTGTTACAATTTCTAGTACACAAATTATTGGGCAAGCCTTGCAACTGCTTTTTTAGAAAATGTTTATATTCTTCCTTAATGATAGAGATAGGGTCTCACTATGTTGCTCAGGCTAGTCTCGAACTCCTGGACTCAAGCAGTCCTCCCACCTCAGCCTCCCAAAGTGCTTGGATTACAGGTGTAAACCATTGCACTTGACCTTTTTTTTTTTTTTTGGATTTTTAGTAGAGACATGGTTTTGCCATGTTGGCCAGGCTGGTCTCGAACTCCTGGTCTCAAGTGATTTGCCCACCTCGGCCTCCCAAAGTGCTGAGATTATAGGCATGAGCCACTATACCCAGCCTGCAACTGCCTTTCTGACCTTCGTTGTTCTGTTTCTTCTCTCCTCCCCAATTCTGTGATCTGGAGAGAAAAATCGAGATGGTTGCATATTTCAGAGTAATCAAGACTCTATTCCCAAGCATTTTAACATCCATTAGAAGCCCCCTATGTTTGCCACTCTGTGTGGCGGGGCACTTCATGGAGTCAGATAAGATGCTCACTTCCCTCTGGCACCACCTGGTCTGCCTCCAGTTAGGCAGGATGTTGGAGGCCACCAGAAACTTTGACTGCTAGCTCCATCAACCGTGGCTTGGGAGCAGTAATCTAGGTCAGGAAAAATTCCTTCCCTAGGAAACCTGGCCTGGTCCGTTTAAATCACAGTATTCTACAGTTCCAACCCATTGGATGGAACTGACTGGAGGAGAACCTACTTTTGGATTTTTTCCCAGATCTCTAATTAATGGCTTCTTACCTGTAAGCTTAGATTAGCTGCTGTTTATAAGGCCTTCCCAAGGTCTGGCGGGAACCTGCCAGTGACCTGGAACTGTCAGGTTTGTACTGCTTGCCAGGGCTCTGTGAAGATTCCAAAGTGCATCTTTCAAAATACTAAATATTTTTGTTGTATTATATCCATATCTATACCCTGTGCAGAAAAAACAGGAAAGTATAAAGATCTCACCACCCAGGAGTAACTCATTGTTTACACTCTCAGTACACTTCTTTCTTTTTTTGAGACAGAGTTTCACTCTTGTTGCCCAGACTGGAATGCAGTGGCCTCCTGGGTTCAAGCGATTCTCCTGCCTCAGCCTCCTGAGTAGCTGGGATTACAGGTGTGCACCACCACACCCAGCTAATTTTTTTATATTTTTAGTAGAGACGGGGTTTCACCATGTTGATCAGGCTGGTCTCGAACTTCTGACCTCATGATCTGCCCGCCTCAGCCTCCCAAAGTGCTGCGATTACAGGTATGAGCCACTGTGCCTGGCCTAGTACGCTTCTTCTAGTTTTAATATACATACCACCACCACCCTGCATATACACCTGCACACATTTTTCACAGTTGATTTCCCTAGGCTATTGATAACCCCCTTTCCCCTAGAGCATGAATGTTTTTCCACATCATTTTTAAAACATTCTAAGAACATGGTTTTTATTGTTTTCATGGCTACATTTAGGGATCTGCCATGATGTTCCTAACTGGTCTCCATTTAGGCTGATTCCAGTTTCCTTGATTAATATCTTTGTGAGTATATTTTAATTTAAATTCTGTATTCTTTATTTAAATGAATACCTAGACATGAATTTATCAGATCAAAGAATATAGAGATATATAAGAGGGTCTCACTCACTGCTGCTGGTCTGTACGCCACATCTTCCCGCCGCTCTGCTGCCCGGTTCCTCCGCTGATCACAGTGAAAGAAGACATTGCCGTGCTTGTCATTGATAATGGCTCCAGCATACGCAAAGCTGGTTTTGCTGGGGATGACGCCCCTCGAACCGTGTTTCCCTTCACCATCAAGTGCCCCCAACACCAGGGCATGATGGTGGGCATGGACTAGAAAGACTTCTACATGGACAACAAGGCCCAGAGCAAGCACGGCATCCTGACACTGAGTACCCCATCGAGCACAGCGTTGTCACCAACTGGGAAGACATGGAGAAGATCTGGCACCACACCTTCTACAACGAGCTCCATGTATTCCTGGAGGAGCACCCAGTGCTGCTGACTGAGGGCTCCCTGAACCCCAAGGCCAACAGAGAGAAGATGACTCAGATCATATCTGAGACCTTCAACACCCTGGACATATATGTGGCAGCCCAGGCCATACTGTCCTTCTGTGCCTCTGGGCGCACCACTGGCATTGTCATGGACTCTGAAGATGGGGGTCACCCACACAGTGCCCATCTATGAGGTCTGTGCTCGCCCCATGCCATTCTGTGTCTGGACCTGGCTGGCCAGGACCTAACTGACTGCCTCATGAAGATTCTCACAGAGTACGGCTACAGCTTCACTACCGCAGCCGAGCGGGAGGTTATGTGTGACATCAAGGAGAAGCAGTGCCACTTCACCCTGGACGTTGAGCAGGAGATGGCCACCGTCACGTCATCCTCCTCCCTGAAGAAAAGCTGCAAGCTTCCTGACAGCCAGGTGATCGCCATCGGCTATGTGAGGCTTCGGTGTCTGGAGGCATTGTTCCAGCCCTCCTTTCTGGGCATGGAATCAGCCAGGCATCCCTGACAGGATGCAGAAGGAAATCACTGTCCTGGTGCCCAGCACAAGGAAGATCAAGATCATTGCCCCTAGCGAGCACAAGTACTCAGTGTGGATTGGCAGCTCCATCCTGGCCTCACTGTCCACCTTTTAGCAGATGTAGATTAGCAAGCAGGAGTATGACAAGTTGGGCCCCTCCATGTCCACTGCAAATGCTTCTAAATGGACTACAAGCAGATGTGTAGCATCTGCTGCATAGGTTAATTCAGATGTATAAATTTGCCCCTGACAAATGTGTATACCTCATGCTAGCCTCACCGAACTGGAATAAGCCTTTGGAAAAAAATTTGTCCTTGAAGCTTGTGTCTGATATCAGCACTACATTATAGAACTTGTTGCTGATTTTGACCTTGTATTCAAGTTAACTGTTATCTTGGTATTTGTTTAATAGTTTGTACATATCTTTGATTTCAACCCTTAGTACATGTGATTTAGTCACTTCATGGCTGAGGTGAGGACATGCTTGTGGAAGACAAGTCCAAGGCTTGGTGGGTCTGTGTGGCCAGCAGTCTCCCACTGGTGCAGGGTATTAATGTGTCAGGGCTGAGTGTTCTGGGATTTCTCTAATGGCTGGCAAGAGCTCCTGAACCAGTTGTCGTGTCTGTCTTGCCTATAGGACCCAGTTTCCTTTCTTAGCTGATGTTTTCCTGCCAGAACACCGTGGGCTGTTACTTGCCTTGAGTTGGAAGCGGTTTGCATTTACACCTGTAAATTTATTCATCCTTTTCATTTATGTAAGGTTTTTTGGTATGCAATTCTTCAGTCTTTAAGAGATTACAACAAATTTTGGTTTTCTACTGTTATGTGAGAACATTAGGCCCCAGCAGTGCATCATTGTTTAAGAAAAAATAAAAGTGCTGCCATTAAAAAAAAAAAAAAAGACATACAGTATAAGACTTTTGAAGGATTATGTATTTTTTTGTGTATATCTATATATGTTACAGAGATAATACAGAATTACTCTCCAGAAAGCATGCAGTCATTTTTGTGCTTTCTAGCTCATGCATTCTCCATGAAGGCAGAAATTGGTTATTGGGGTCGGGGACAGTCCTGGAGATTACAATAGTTTGTGGCCCTCCTGCAGGCACAGTGTATACACAGATACACAGTACATCTATAGTACTAAAATTGTATACAGGGGCTATTGACAGAAAGGTTAAGAAGCACTGTTCTAGCTGTATATGACTCCATACATCTGCCTTTGAAGCTTTTAAATCTTAGCTTTGGGATTTTGGTTTTTGGGTTTAAAAATAATATTTTTCTGATGTAAAACTTCTTGGTTCATTATATAAAGTTAAGAAAATGGAGAAAGATGTGAATAAAATTTATCTGGAGGTTACCAATAAAAGGTTACCAATTAATATTAACATTTAATATTTTAATCCATGGCTTTTATTGTTTTTTTTTTTGTTTTAATCCATGTTTTTAGGTTTGTGTTTCACTCTTCTCACGTAATCGCCATTGTAAGATTATCAATGTTCATCTGAGCCAAGGACCACCCTGAAATATCCCTTGTGTTATGGTCTCATGGAAGGGTTTCCCCTGTCCCCCATGCCTGGGAGTGTTTGTGATCTCACATGCATCAGGTGCCTGACTGCTCTGGGACTTGAAATAATTGTCTCTTGTTTATTTCAGGTGTGATCCCCTGGGCCCATTTGCTGTCGGGGGAGAAGACTTAGACCCTTTTGGGTGAGTACTGCTGGGGAGGTGGCAGCAACACAACTTGCTCTTGTGGCTTTTCAGCCCCAGCTCATCTTCTAATTTTAGAGTTTTCGGTCAGTCTCTTTCTTCGGGGAGGAGGAGGCAGTTGTTGCTGAGTGGCTGAGAAAGCACTGCCACATACGCTGCTCCTCCACACCTAGTGCAATGCAGGAGAGCGCTGAGTGTTGGCAGGGAGCTGAGCAAGCCCAGAAGGCAGCTCTTCTGCCATTTCCGGCCCCCTTGCCCACCCTAGTTTATCAGATGTATAGTGAGGAGCACATGGTGGGCCTTAGGGCAGCTCAGGGCTATTCAGAGGTTACCCCACTTAATAAAGGGAGTCCCTGAGCCCCATTAGACTCTGGATGGTTCTTATCATGCATCCAGCAAAGTTACTACAGCCTCAACTATCCACTCTCTTCTCTAAATGATTCAGACTAGATTTTAAGCTCTGCTGCAAAGTGACCCCAACTTCAGCATCTCATTTTTAGACAGTGGGGAGATCACTTAGGTCTGCAGTGCAGCTTAAGCTGTGACTTCAAAATTTGGGGAACCATCAGCTCATTCATCCTAGTTTGAGCACATGAGGTAAGGTCCATAGAGCTCCATGAGGGACAGATACTTTCAGGAGCCAGACCTAGGCAACCCACAGGCAGGAGAAATTGCCCTGAGGCCCTTAAAGAAAAGAGAGCAAAAAAAGCCAACATCACGAATTACCTCAATGGTAGTATTAGTCCTTAACCCTAAAGCTTCACCCTGCAGAACCTTGTGAGGGCGCTGTATTGACCTCGGCAAGTTCTGGCCCTCGGTCTTGATCAAGTTGTCCCTCTTGGATATGGCAGGGATCTCAATTTTGAGGAGCCCTACAGAACCAAAAGCACTGTGCAGAAGAACCAAGCCCTGCAGAGCCGAAAGTACTCACTCAGCTATGAGGTCTGCTCTTCGTGTAGGCTTTGTGTTCTTGCCCTTGCCCACTTCCTGCTGGCTCTCAGGCAGCCATCCACATGTCTGCTTGGGCCATCCAGAGTAGATATCCCTGCCATTCTTGGTCCATTCTCACCTCCCTTGCCTTTTCTCCAAGGACAGTCCTTCCACACCTACTTACCCAACTTTTCTTCTTGCCTCAGGCGTCGGAGAGGTGGCATGATTGTGGATCCCCTGAGATCTGGCTTCCCAAGAGCACTTATTGACCCATCGTCAGGCCTCCCGAACCGGCTTCCTCCAGGCGCTGTGCCCCCAGGAGCTCGCTTTGACCCCTTTGGACCCATTGGGACCAGCCCATCTGGGTAGGTAGTCACTCAGGTATGCCGAGAAGTAGGACTTGATGGCAGCTTGGCTCAGTGTGGCAGCAACAAAGGTTTCTAGCCCCAGGCACAGAGTTACTGCTGCCTCCACCTGTTGCTTCCAGGAGAGTGGAGCCTCCTCCAGGGCTCTGCCTGATGCCTCCCTGGAGCCTTCTAGGAGCTCCCTGTCCCTCAGTGCCTCTCTTCCCCCAGCTCCCCTCTGGGGAGGACTCAAAGTAGGAGGAGGAACTAACAATTCTTGAAAGTTTGTATGTCAGAAACCCAGTGGATCCTTTCTTTAGTAGTCTTGGGTAGATGGTGCTGTCTACATTTTATAGATGCAGAAAATGAGACCCTGAAGGATTAGGTAACTTATACCAAGTGAGGGAGTCAGGATTCAAACCCAGGCTGTCTGGCTCTTGAGTGCATGTTTTTAAATTCCTCACACCACAACATTGTTTTGAAGGGCAACCTCCCTCAGTGCAGGGTCATGTCTGCACCCTGGTCTCTCCATCACTCCAACTCATCAGCCCCTCTTTCCATTCCAGACCTAACCCAGACCATCTCCCCCCGCCGGGCTTCGATGACATGTACCTGTGAAGGCCTCAAGAATGTAACATCCCAGGCTTCCCTCCACTCTCCTGGAGCTGCCACTGCTGTCCCCATCAGCAACTGTGTTTTTGCGGGCTGAGGGCAAGGGATTCTGCCCATGTGTTTGCAAGCCAGCTGGGATAGCCTCCCCACCCCTTATCAGAGCCAAGGCACCAGCTGCACCTCTCCACCTGGCTGCAGATAGGTCCCAAAGAGAAATCAGTGTGTGTCTTTCACCACCAGCTCCTCCCCTTTGACCACCAGCTCCTCCCCACTTCCCAAGGGAGACTCCGGCAACCTCCAGCGACATATATCCTTGACCAGATGCAGTCCCAGTTGCAGCGCTATAAGAACAGAACGCATTTTGGATGTTATTATTAAGAACCAAATGTCAATACAGAATTCATGTTGCCGGTTTCCCACTTTTCTTTTTACATTAACGCATAGCTCCTTCCATTTATAAGACTTTAGAGTCTGAGTTTCTGTGGGGCTGAATGACCCCTTTTCCTACCCTTTGCCTATTCTTGCTTAATTCAGGCGCCTTCCTTTCATTAATTGCCATTGCTCCTGACATCACTAAGATGGGTCCCCATCTGGCTGCATGGATGGAAATGAGTGACTGGAAATCCCATAGGCCACAAGAATGACTTTCACAAGGGCAGGAACATTGTGGAAAGACTGAATCATTCTGATGAGGCAAAATCCTCCAGCTATTCCTGTCTGGGCCAGTTTTGTAGGTCCATCTGTGCATGGGCAGCAGTAGTCAAAAAGCTGAGGAATAAACAGGACAGACCTGAAGGCTAATCTTATTTTTGCCACTAACTTAATGAATGACCCTAAGCGAGTCCCTTCTCCTCTTGGGCCTTGTGCCAAGCCTATGAAATTAGAGGTGGCTTTCCTTCTCTAAAGCATTTTGATGTCTCATTCTGTGTTTGGTAACCGTAGAAACTGGGGCAGAGGCAAAGAATGACAGTTCAAGGAGGTACTTGCCTTGAACCTTGTATAGTTCTTGCCTAACTCTGGTTTTTGGACCCTGTGGGGCCCAGACAGAGCTGCCTTGAACCTTGTATAGTTCTTGCCTAACTCTGTGTTTTTTGGACCCCACGGGGGCCAGACAGAGCACAGGAGCATGGGCTACATCTGAGTGTGGTGTTGAACTTCGGGAGGAGCAGGGAGCCCTGTGCCTTGTGACCCGGCCCACCTGACCTTTGGTGTTCTCCGGATCCTTTTCAGCCCGAGGCCCGACAGACGAGGGCAGTGATGAGCCCTGTTCTGGAATGGAAAGAGCACGATAGAGCACCAGGCTAAGAGGCACAAGATCAAGGTGGTAGTCACTTCCGCTCTGCAGCTAGCATTTCAACCATATGTGGGTCCTTTCACTTCTCAGCTCCTTGGATTCCTTTCCCTAAATTAGGACCTATTACTTATCTGTAGGTAAGCAGGCTACTGTACCTTTTCTGAGGTATCTGCTAGGCTGTTTTCTGTAGCCTAAGATTGCCTTTCTGTTTAGCATGAGAACAGATAGACGAAAACTAAACTGATGCCTAGGCCCAGGGTCAGTCTCAGGTGGAAACTGGGCCTGGGTGGGAGGCTAGCATGAGCAGCTCCCTGGGTATTTCTGTCAGTCCTCGTGGCAAGCAGTGATTTAGTAAAAGATCCCAGAGGCAGGGAAGCCAACCACCTTGAAACCTTTAGAACATCTGTGCTTTGGAGAGAGACCCAGAGATCAAGCGGAGGTGCAGATTCAATCATTACTTATAACCTTCTTTGAGGGCTGACAAATGGGAGGGATGTTAGTTTTTGTTTTGGAATTGGACCATACTTGCAATCAAAAGGACTTAGGGCAGTTTGCTCATAAAAATATCATTTATTATAAAAAGAAGTATTTAAAGGAACATCAGACTAGAGACCATCAGACAGAAGCAGGGAAGGTAGATAACTTTTAGATCCTTGATGTGAGGAAAAGATAAAATTTAAACAATAAATTTGCCACTTAGACTTTTTAGTAGCAAAGGTCAAAAAGATAGTCATATACAAAATTCTGTTTTCTGAAAACAGAAAATTGTGATTCACCTGCAGAATCAGCCATTTTTTTGTGTGAGTTTCCTTGCATCAAGGACACTGAGAAACGCAGTTATTGTCTTAGGTGTTCTATGGGAGGAAGTGAATGGAGCCTTTAGGAACTTCCTGGTCAAGCTGATGGTGCTTAGTTTGGCCTGAGCCACTTCCCTCCTTCCAGTCATGAGTAGTCATCAAGCAGCAAAGTGGAATGTTCAGGTGTATATTTTGTAGAACCCAAAAGATTGGAGCCTTAACAATAAACATCAGTACTAAGTGACCTGTTCCTCCTTTTTTTTAATAACAGCTGTATTGAGATAAAATTCACATACCCATAAGGTTCACCCTTTTAAAGTATACAATTCAGAGGGTTTAGTATGTTCACAGTGTTGTACATCCATCACCATTTCTAATTCCTGAACATTTTCACCACCTCAAAAACAAACCACAAACTCATTAGCATGACTCCCATTCCCTTGCCCTCAGCCCCAGGCAACCACTAACATCTATCTCTAAAGACTTCTTTTTTTCTGGACAGTTCTTATAAATGGAATCACTCAACATGTGACCTTTTGTGTCTGGCTTCTTTAATTTCATGTGATGTTTTTAAGATTCATTCATGCTATGGCATGTGTCCATGGCATGGATGTGTCACGTTTCCCTTATCCTTCTGTCAGTTGATGGACAGTTGGGTTGCTTCTACAAAAAGGCAATTATGAATAATGCTGCTAAGAAGATTTGTGTACCAGTTTTTGAGTTTTCAGTTGTTGGAGTTTCAGATGTTTTCAGTTCATTTGGGTATATACCAAGGAGTGGAATTGGTGGTTCACATGGTAGCTCTATATTCTATTTTGTGAGAAATTGCCAGGCTGTTTTCCACAGCAGCTGTACCGTTTTACATTTCCACTGGTAATTTATGAGGGTTCCAGTGTCTCTACATCCTCACCAACACTTGTTATTCTTCATGCTTATGGTCATCCTAGTTAGTGTGAAGTGGTACCTCATCATGCTTTTCTCTTCCATTTTTTAAAAAAGGAGAATTTTGACCTACAAGGCAGAGACCAGAGTCAGCCCCACTTGGGGAGCAGTCTATGGCTTTGATAATCGCCACCTTGGGATGAAGATGGTTGGTGAGCTGCAGAGGAGTTGGTTTGACTTTTGGTTCTAGGCGGGATGTGATACAGGGCAGGTTCTGTCTCTAGGGAAGTTCCCATGACCTTTTCAGATCTAGTGAGATTCACATCATCACTTTGGTTTGGTTTGAAATTTCTTTGTTTATCCAGTGAATTACAAGTAGAATAATGAACTGGTTCTAAATCGTCTTTTGGTGCTGAAGTACCATAGACCAACTCAGACCACTTCTCTGATGTACCAGCAGCCCCCACATCACACCTTCACCTTGGCTTGTCTCTTCCCCAATTCTTTGAGTTAGCTATGTTTTTTACTGCATCCATCTACTCAGTCATGAGCATCTGTCAACCTCCATTGTGAAGTCATGAGTCTCTTGAGACCAAAACTCCAAGAATGTATTGTGCTCACAGTGGACAGGGTGTTCCTTTGCCAGGTGGTCAGTAGTTGTTTATATGTAGTTAGAAAATAGATAGCAAGTTCCACGCAGCCTCATTCTTTGGAACTCAGCCTCTCCTGTGGCCCTTCTACTGTTGCTAATAACATTTTATTAATGATCTATGCCTCTCTTCACAGGAGGAAAATTAGAATCTATGGAGCAGTTCGTATTCTTTTTCACCTAAATTTGTCTACTTCTGTACATTTCCAATAAGACACCATGGTGAGGGAAGATTCCCCACATGTATATCCCCAGCTGTCTCTATCATAAAACTTATATCCGTGTAAACCCACCATTGACATTTTGCACCAAAAAAGATATTCAAAGGCAGACATCCAAGTCCCCAGCTCTTTATTGCCTTTGGGATACCACAAGGCACACCCTGAGTCACTGCAGCCATGCTTGGCCCTGAATCTCTCCTGGAGGGTGGGTCAAACGGCAAGGATGGCAGGCAGGATGGTGGGCAGTGAGGAGTGGCAAGGCCTAGCTGACTGAGGACACACCTAGCAACAATGACAGGAGGTTTGAACACCACATGAGTGGCAGTGCCCGTGGGAGGTGCAAAGTGGAAGCCCAGCCCCTGCTTAGAGGAACATGAGGCGATGGTGCAGTGCAGTAGAGGACACTGGATGGTCATTTGAACAGCTGCGTTCCAGGTGAGCCACCTAAGGTGAGTGTTGTGAGACTCACAGTGGGTTCAGAGGGACAAGGTAGTGAGAGGGTGCTGCTGACGCATTTGTCCTGGGATTCAGTTGCAGTAAACAGAAATTTGCCTTTTGTAACCAAAAGGTCCAGAGAGCAGCAGGATCACATCACCATTGCTACACTCTTGGGATTAGACACTCCAGAGCCACACAGCAGCTGCCTATGTCTGCATCAAAAAGTGGATGTCCTTTACACTGCCATCTGGACACCACTCAGCTAGCTCATCCAAGTTCAAGGCTCAATTGAATGCATCTGGTTGTTGGAACCTACATGGCCTTTCAAATGATACTGGCATGGGATCTTGGGAAAATATCTTTATTCCCTCTTTCCACCTTTCCAGGCAGGTGCACTGGGACAGAGGTCTGGTAAGCCAATCTTCTGTGTTGTCTACGCCATGGACCATGATATAAATGGGTACCACAGCCTTGCATGCCTGAGCCTAACCATCTCCTGAGATGCTTGCTCTAAGTACACATTAGTACATGCTGGGCCCCAATCCAGGTCTCAAGGGAAGAGTCTTCAAGTCCATTTTTTACAAGTTCCTCTTGTGATTCATATGATTCTGCAAGTTTGAGAACTGAGAAGGGAGGGGAAGACCTACATCCTCCTTACTCAGACCACCAGCAGCAGCAGCAGTATCACCTGAGAACTTGTTACAAATGCAGAATCTCAAGCCCCATCCCAGACATTGAATGAGAATCTGCATTTTAACAAGTTTTCCGTGAGATTTGTGTACGCTTGATGTGTGGGTAGCTCACATATACTATGTCTTTTGTCCTTTACATGATTATCAAGTACCAAGAATTGAGCCAGTCAGTCCTCTTGGTTAACGGCACATTATGATTAATGCATGCAAGAACTCTGATTTGGCATTTTCCTTGATTTTACCCCCAGTATCCACTCCATTCCTTTGCCCCCATGGGTCACTCAAATGTGTTTCATGTATCTTTAAAAATGCAGCACCTTTATAGCATACATTATATCTTCAAATCATAACCATAATGACATATTATCCCCATTTCCTAGATCAGAAAAGGAAAGATTGGAAAGATCCAGTAATTTGCTGAAGGTCAAGCAGGAGTCCCAGATTCAGTCAAGCATGGGTGACTCACAGCCCTTCCTTGGTCATTGTGTGGCCTTCCTCATCTGCAAAATGAGCATTACCCCTACCTGCAGGATTCTTGCAAGATCCAACCAAATGTGTCTTATTAACAGATAGTTGGGACTCGATGGCTGCTTGCTGCAATTGTCACCGAAGTCATATGGATAGATAAGGGTGGGACTTAAGGACAAGAGGAGAGGAACCTTGGAACGTCCCCCAGTGCAGGAAACAAGCATTTATCTGGTGCACACACAGTGTGCTAGGCTTCTCATCATCACATGTAGTACCCCTGAAAACCCCAAGGTAAACACAGCTGGTGGCATTAGTTGAGATGCTTAACCCCTATGGGTGGCAGAATCATGACTGGAACCCAGGTCATTGTTCTTTTCAGTAGAACTGCTGTACCCAGACCTCACACCCTCTCTAGGCAAGGTGCATGGGTCCCTGGGCAAAACCCATTCCAGAAGCTGGGAAACCACATCAGAACTTGTGTGAGAAAGAAGTGATGGTCTTAAGGCTCCTCAGTCAGTCCTGTTTGCACAGTGTGCCTCATGCTTCTGAGTACTTCCACCTGCAGCCCCAGTGCCCAGAGCACCTGATTAGGAGGAGCATATGAAACCACCTGCACAACCTCCATTCCACAGAGGAAGAAACAGGTCCAAGAAGTCCTTATGTGAGAGGGAGCTGCTAAGAGGCTTCCCTAGGCCACAGCAATGGGCTCGGGCTCTGTGCAGGGTTCTGTCACCTGGCTCCATGTGCTACTCACCTCAGCCTTCTGAGTTTAGTAGGATCTGTCTTCCCTATTGATGAAAAAAGCAGGTCCACAGCTTTTTTCCCAAGGCCACACAGACCACAAATCCTGGCTTCAAGTCCAAGGCATTTCCAGTAAACAGTGCCCAAATCAGTCATGGAGGTCCTTTAGTGACAAAAATATGAAGGAACCCTTCTTTCCCCCTCCCAGTTCCACAGCTAGGCTGTGTTAAGAGGAAGGTGCCATACAGGTTCAGCACCCTGGTCAGCGCCTAGCCTCCCTAAGGCCGCTGGAGGAGGCCTTTGGGGCCAGGTCAGGTCAGTGTCTGCTGCTCCCTGATCCAGGATGGCCCATTCTGAGAGGAGGGGGCCTGGACCTAGGTGTCTTGCCACCCAATACAGAGCCCTGCCCTTTCCCTCTCCTCCAGAAGGAAGCATGGGAGCAGTCCCATCCTCTAGGTTTCTTGGTTCCCAGGACAGAAATTGAAGTGAGAAGCCTGTGAAGAGTGGGTTGGGCCAGGGACCCTGAGCCATGGTAACCTTGAACAAGTTTGGCTTTCCCCATCTGCAAAATGGAGATAAGGATGAACTCACCTTCCCAAGATCCTGCCCATCTATGAGAGTCCATGACTGAGTGGCCCATGGGTTGGACTGAGTTCAGTGCTACCCCAACCATCCCTTCTGTTCTTCCCCACAGAGCTTCCCAATTCACATGTAAACCACAGGCATCAACGTGACAGCTGACAGCCCAGGTTTGCCTATAAATGTGCTCTGACTGGCCTGCATGTTATTAAATTTGATACAATGCATGATGGCAGTTATTAAATTTGAGTCTTCACTCTGTTCTTTACCAGTAGTGTGACCTTCGGCAAGTCACTTAACCTGCCTGTGAAAGCATCCTCATATGTAAAATGGAGGTAGTGATAGGACCCCTCTGTAGGGTTGTTGTGAGCTTCAAATGATCTAGCAGATGTAAAGACATAGATGAGGGCTTGGCACAGAGAGAACACTATTGTTTAAAAATTGGGTGACTTAATGTGTGTAATAAGTGACCAGTTCATTGCAGTGTACAAACATGAAGTGTTTGCTTTTTATCCAAATGACCTCTATCAAATGTTCCTCTGTTATCTCAACATCTTGGGCCCAGTCAATAACT